AGGCGGGCCCCGGCCTGCAGGAGCGGCTGCAGGTACTGCCCAGCGCCTCCCCCGGGGGTGGGGGAGACCCGGCGGCGGGGCGGCGGGCCCAACCCCCGCTGTCCGCCTTTCTTTGCAGATGCTGAGGCTGCACCTGCCCGACCCGCCGGCAGACAGCGAGGAGGAGGAGGCGGCGGCGGAGGGCGCCGCGGCTCAGAGCAGTCGCAGCTCCATCCCCATGGACGCAGGTAACGGCATCTCCACGGGGGCCCTCTCGGCTGCCCCGCACGGGGCTCGGCCGCGGTCTCATCCCCTCTCTGTCCCCAGAGCACGTGGAGCTGGTGAAGAGGACGATGGCCAGCGTGAAGCTTCCCACCCTGGGCATCCCGGCCTGGGCCAGCCAGATCTCGGAGGACCAGTGGAAGGACGTGGTGCAGCGCACGCTGCAGGCCCGGCAGAGCCTCAGCGGCCCCAGGCCCGAGTGGAAGTGAGAGCCAAGCTGCGGCACGGGGGTGCTAGCCTCGGCCCTCCCTCAACTGCACAAGGCGATGTGGGTGCTGCTGCCTTGGAGCCAGGCGGTTGCCAGCATCAACCTTCCAGTTTCTCCCACTGACGTCCAACTTCCCTTCCTGCTCCTCTTTCCTGGTTCTGGCTGGTCTGTAAGTTGCTGTGATGTCCATGTGTTGGCTTCCTCTGCCTCTGAGGATCCCAACTGGTTTCCATACCGGAGGGGGGTGGATCTTGGCCAGCTTTGCCCAGATTCCCTTGGGACAAACACTGAATTTGTCCCCATGCTGTTGGTGCTGGAGATGTCCCTCTCCACGCTAAGGCCCCTCCTCCCAGCACAGGGGCTGTGTGTTGAAATATCAGAGGTGGAGCCCAGTGTGTCTTTCCAAGAGATTGGTTTTATTTAGTTCTGTACATACAGGGACATCTGTACAAAATCCAACACTTTCATACTATGTAATGCTCTACTGAAAATAAAGTACACCATATGTACATATGAACTGTAAGCAGCTTAATACTTGTGTCCAGGGGGTGAATGCAGTAGTTAGTTTTGCTTGTTCCCTTGGGAGAAGGGAGCCAGGTGAAGTGGAAGAAGCAGCTCCAGTTCTGTCCATTTGGCTGATGTCGGGAAAGGCATAGGCAGAAATGAGCAGCACTAACACTAGAAATCAAGTGTTGAGTGAGGGGCGGCTGTAGCATGGCAGACGCTGGTCTGCGTATGAGCAGTACATGTGGCGGAGAGGGTGGACACACTCCCCCCTTTCTCACATGGTCCCCTTCTTAGATGTCCAGGACACTGGAATGAATAGGCAGCAAACTAATGGCAATGTGAAGGTACTAAGCCTAAGTTCCCAGACCCAGAACAAGACACACAAAGCTATGAGAACATCGAAGCTGTACAGCACATAGTCATGATGCATTACAGTCCTGCCACGGCACACGGCGTGACCCCAGCAGCATTCCTCTGGCCATGCTGGGGGACTGCCAGCAGAGACAGACCATCTGCAGGACGGTGACAGCCTCTGCGCACCGGAAGTCTGTTCCTTCTGCAGGCAGAACAGCCCGCAGCAGGGAAAGGCAGCCCCTGCCTTGCAGCAAGCAGGCTCAAGTGAGGGCAGATGCATGCTGTAGCACTCTAAAAATGAGGTGTCAGCTTATAACGCAACGCTAAGTGGACAGGTTGAAAAGCCCGTACTGTAACAGGAAGAAACATCCTCCCCAGGCCAAGCCCTGCTGTGGGTGGTGCGTGGCAGTCCTCGTCTCCGCTGTGCCCTGAGACGCCTGCTGCTCCTGTGCACCATCTGGCATCACCCAGTGCATGTCTACATGCTGTGCCAGGCATGAGGTAATTGATTGGCAGCTGACCATGAACTTGGACTAATGTTCAAAATATGCAATAACCTCCCTGAGGTGTTTCATAAGTCTCCTGATAAACTGGCCCATTGCATGAAGCAGAGGGGAGGTGGGGTCCTGTGTGACTGTAGGTGATCTTGCACATAACTCATGCTTGCCAGCTGCTCCTAAGAGATGGTGGCATGCCTAATGAGGGCTGAACTGAAAGACAGCTGAACAGGGCAGGGGGAACAGGATACACACAGAAGAAACAGCTTAGTGTGGGTTGGAGGAAAGATGTGCTGCACACCAGCAATAAGATTAGAGGGGATGAACCTCTGATCTGGGAATGGTTTACTGGTGAGGACAAGCAGATACATCAGGACCTTCTGCAACATCCCATGATGCTGCAAAGCAGCATCAGAGTAGCACTGACCCCATAAGCTCCCTGCACTACTGCAGACCCACTTAAGCTTATGTGTCAAGAAAGCAAGCGCAGCAGGTAAAAAGCAAGGAAGACTCCCTCTTCTGTCACGAGCCAGCCTCTCTGAGATGGCACCTTGGCCTGGCACTGAATCTGCACCACAAAAGGCAGGGGAGAGAACTGGACCCTAGTAGCACCCAAGTGCTGTGCAATCCCCCACACTATCAGCAAGTGCGATCTAAATGCTAAATTAGCAAAAGTCTGTGATGCACCATAGGATAACTAACAAGGGCCTCAGGCCACAGCAGGTGCCAAAGTAACAGGGCGACGTGAACTTTACAGAAGCAATTCAGCAGTAGCACCTAGCCATTGATCATAAAGAGGAGACAACTGAACACTCAAGAAACTCAGCCTGGCCCCATAACGCGTATCCATTGCTTCCAGTTTGCAGAAATTACTTTAGAAGCACAAGCTTCCTAGAAACCCTGGCCACTGCAGAGCTAAGGATGGGATACAGTGACAAAGGGAGAGCTGCAGGAGTATTTTAATTGAGCAGGTAGAGGAAGAAAGCAGAAGTCAGTGGCTGACACCTGCTACAAAGCGGGAAGTTAATTCTGGGCCCACGATTAATCCAAGACACCAGGATGGAGACGAGTCAGCACGGACCAACACAAACAGCTGAAGGAATTCACTTTCCCACACGAGAGCTTCTAAGGATGCTCTAAAGGGAGGGCTGCAATAGTACGTAGTGCTTGCACCCAGATTTACTGGGGGTGGTGAAGCACTGAACCCCCACTCCACTGACAGGGGAACAGAACAAGGGACTTGAAGCAAAAGAAAGGTGGAAGTGAACATCTCCTCCGCTGTATGTGAGACTCTCCAGCTGCAGAGCTGCACCCCAAGGCAGGGCAGAGAGGCAGAAGAGCCCCCCCCCAACTCTGCTGCACACTCCTGCCCCGAGCTCAGCCTGACCTCTGACCACTGCAGGGCTTGGCTGCACAAGCAGCACAGGGGCAGGCATGGTGGAGATGGGCACTTGGGGCTTGTAGCAGCATGCTGAGCCACGCACCGCAGCCTCTGGCCAACACAGAGCCTGTGTTGCAGGGCAGCAAGGCTCTGCCCCCCAGGCAACGCCAGAACCAGGCAGCAGCTGTAAATGAAGTGACTCCTGCCTGGGCTGATACAATCACAGGTCAGGCAGGCTCCCTTTATGCACGCACACCCAAGGTGGAGAAGCAGGAGGAAGGAGGAAAAGGAGGAGGACACGACGGTGGTGAGATACAAGTTATAACGTAAAACCAGATCTACCCTGGAGGGATGTGGATGGAGTGGAGGACAGGCACAGCTCACCATGTTCATTCCTTATTTATACATGAGAACCAAGTGCATTTCCATGACCCCTGGGGGAAAGGGATGGGGCAGAGCTTCCCGGGCCAGCTCCTGAGCCCGTCAGAGAGCCTCCTGGCTTGAGGTGAGAAACTCTTCTGCTCTCTTGTGGGCCTCCAGGGCTTTTATAGTGTAGACGTCCTGAGGAAGCTCAGATTTCCGGCGCAGCAAAACTTTCTCTTTCTTAATGTCTTTCAGCATCTACAGACAAACCAAAGCAGTCAGGGATCAGTAGCAAACCCCTTCATCCCTCGAGCCTCCCCATTCTCTGACTCCAACTGCTCTAGGATATGCTGGATGACACCGCAGCATGCTGCGGAACAGGCTGAGAGCCAAACACAGACCAAAATGACACAGAAAAGTCCCACTTGCACTTTTTCCAGAGTGGGAAGTTTAGATAAACTCCACTCTTCAGACTACAGGTTGATCTCTAATGATCAGGGGTGAAAGTAGGGGCATTTACCCTAGAACACTTGGAAAGAGCCAGTTCTAGCTGCTGTACCCTGGGCTGACTATGCTGATGTCTTGGCTGGTCTGAGAGTAATTATGGAAGGACCCATCACCTGCACAGCCTCTGTCTCCACTGTTTTCTTCAGTAGCTGTATATCCTCTGCAGTTGGAGTCTCCGTTTCCATACAGCAGACAGGAGGCAATGGTGGAGGTGCATAATACATGGGGTACTGTAGACAACAGAGACATCTGGAGAGTCAGCATGCCATCCAACACCAAGCCTCTCCCCCAGCATCCTGACACAGCATGTTGTACTTCTTCCAGTGCTCTCTCTGGCAACCGCTAAGATAGCAGTAGGTACACAGACAGGAAAGGAACGTCTTCTCCTACCCATTCCTACCGGCATCCCCTGAGCCACAGCACATGGCATGTGAAGCCACAGCTGAGAGAAGAGTCCATAAACATGTACATGCTCTCTATAAGGCATTACTTAGAGGTCAGTGCTACAGGGGGCCAGGCTGGTAAAATGCTGACAGCATTCCCAAGACACTGGGTTTTGGGAGGGACAGACCACTGCTGAAGCTGTTTGCACAGAACTCAGATCAGGTGCTAGAGCCTGCTTTCATGAGCTAAGGAAGCAGGTCAAGACTCCCAGCACATTCTTGTCTCATTCATCCTAGTTCCTGCTGTTACTCACCTGGGGGTTCAGTCGGGCCAGCTCTTCTATTTTCTGCCACATTTCTTCTCGTTCCTTCATCCTGAACCTTCCCCTGCAGAGAGAGAGAGAGAGAGAGAGCGAGAGAGAGCACGAAAGTGTGAACACCTAGGGAAAGTGCAGCTTTTTCTCACAGGAAGACAAAAGCAAGAGACAGCAGAAAAGTGCAGGTGAGGGGAAGAGCTGCTCTGTCCTTCAGAGAGCACTATCTACAGGTGAGATGTGGCAAGAAGAGAGGACACACTGCAGCTAGCAAGGGGTAGGTAGGCACACTTCTCGCTCACCTCAGAGCACAGGGTGGCAGCAGTGAGCCGCACGGGTACGTTTTCCTGGCTTTGTGCAGGGAGTGGACCAGAGCAATTGGTTTCTGGAGTAAAGCAATGACACCAGTTTAGATGTCAAACACACATTTTCCTGGTGTGCCGATGCAGAGGGACAAACTGCCATTTCCAGTAGAGCTGGGGCTCAACTGCCCGCAGTTCCCTCTCTCTCTCTGGCCATAACACACTAGAGAGCTGCCCAAACCCCCAGGCACAGCTCTTGAATTTGGCACAGATTTTGGCACAAAACTTAAGTGACCGTTCCACTGGGCCACCCGTAAATCCCAGGGTAGTGAACGTTCCCTGCAAACAGAAGTGAGCACCCACCACTCCTTGTTATTCTCTTCTACATTTCAAACATCTGCACTAAAATTTCTGCTTTATTTCTGATTTTAACTATCCGGCTTTCATCATAGCTACTGGTCTCTTTAGTGCCTTGTCTATCCATGCTAAGGAAGTTCTTATACTCTGTAATCACCTCACACTCTTGAAATATATGTAAGAAAGGAGGCTAAAAATGAGAATAATGGAGTAGTCAAGCATTCAAGCAGCAGACTACTCCATCAGAGAACATAGGGTCAAAAAAAGTCACCCAAAAAACTAAACCCCAAATACATAACCCACATCTCATTTTTTGACAGAACTTCACAGAGATCTCTGCAGGGGACTGTGACCAGGAGTTAGCACTAACCTTCCCTAACTCTTTCCTGTCTCAACCCAAGTTTCTCCAGAACCCTTTTTAATGTCTGGTAAACAGAAACATACATATTACTACAATCTTGCCATTGGAAACGTAGACCAGTATGTCTGTCCACAAAGACCCTCACGTTGTGAAGGCCACTGCCTCTCCAAAGCAATGTCTACTGCCAAGCC